AGCCAGGTGTACGCCGCGCATGGGTTGGTGTTCGACAGCGGGGTGGCGGCCAACGCGTCCGCCGTCGTGGTGAACGACAACGCCGGTGTGCTGACGGATGGCGCGCTGCTGGTGCTGCGGGGGTCGGCGTCGTTTGTGTCCGGGTCGTGGCTGTCGGTGCGCGGCAACAGCATCAGCGGCAGGCTCCTGTCTGTGCCGTCGTACCCACGCAGTGCGGAGCTTGTGCAGAGCACGCTGACGCTCCACGGGAACGCCGGCAGTGGGCCCGTCGTGATGGACGGCACCGTTGCGCTCGGGGACGCCGGCCGAAGGTTCGTCGTGGGGTGCCTGACACTCAACGGGCAGGCGCTGCAGCCGATGGAGTACAGGTCCGCCGGCATCATCGGGGAATTCCGCCCCGTGGCGTGTGGCGTGTGCGACGCCGACGTGCACTGCTTTGCAGCTGCGACGAGGGCGATGTCGGGGTCGTGCGTCTGCCGCTGTGCTGATGGCGGGTACGGGCGCGACTGCCTGCCGGTGTACCTGCCGCACGTGGACGGGTGCAACCGCACGCCCGCCCTGCCGCCGCTGAGCCACACGGCGACGCGCAGCCCTACGCCGACATGGACAACAACATGGAAGCCGACGCCGAGCGCGACGCAATACAGTCCGACGCAGCACGGGCCGACGGAGACCCTGCAGGTGACGGGGACGGTGGCGCTGTCGCCCACGCGGACCCCGACGGCGTCGGTGAGCAGCACGCTGTGGTGGAGCGATGTGGCGTGCCCGACGCTTGCTGTGACGACGACGGCGGCTGGAGGAGGCCTGACGCAGAACGACATCCGTGGCGGTGGGAGCGCCGTCCCGACGCGGCTGATGGTGGCGCTGCCGCCGCCGTTTTGTTGGGCACGCGATCCGCAGCTCGGCACGCACCTGAGCTTCGTGCCGGTTTCGACGGCGCAGCCGAGTGGCTTTGGTGGTCCGTGGGGAGCGATGCTGAGCAACGCGACGTGGGTGCGCAACGCGACGAATCCGTCCACCGTCCTGGAGCTGGCTGTGCCCGTGCACCGCGGTTACTTCATTGCTGCCGACGAGACGATAGTCATTCGCTGCGACGCAGCGGCGGTGTCCGGCGGCTGCAAGGGAGTGCTGCTTGGGTCCTTCACGATCAGGTCTGACGCGCTGCCCGCCGCCTCCAGCGCTCTCTCGGCGATCACCGGCGTTGTTGCGGGTGCGGCGGCTGTTGCCGTGGTGGTGACCGGCGGGCTGGGCTCCGTCCTGGAGATGCAGGCAATCGGCGTGTTTGCGAGGATGTCATGCGCCTCGTCACAGGAGCGTGCGAGCACCGTTGCGCTGCCGTACTTCCTGTCGGTGTTCGCTGCCCTTGACCCGCTGTGGATGGTGGTGGGCAACGCACTGCTTGCCGCTGTGTTCGGGTGCGTGCACTGCGGTGTGACGGCGGCCTTCCAGCGGTGGCGCGGCGTGGACGCGGCGAGTGCGTGGGCTGCGATGCGCTTCCCGAGCCTGACGTACGTCGTGGCGCACGCGATGCACCTCGGCATCTTCTTCGGCTCCGTGCTCGCACTGGCGATGCCCGGCGCCCGCGTGCAGCACCGCGTGGTTGGTGTCGTTGGCGTGCTGTACGGTGTGGCGTTTCCTGCTGGCGTGTGCTACTTGATTGCCCGCCACACGGGCGCGAGCTTCACGAGGTACTGGCAGTTTTTGAGGAAGCCGCTGCACGAGCGCCTGCTGTACCCCGTCGGGTATTGGCACCCCGCGGCGCAGCAGCGGATGTACGGCGGCATGCTGACGAACATGAGGGGCAGCCACGTGTACTGGTGCGTGTTCCAGCTGTCGGTGCTGTGTGTTGTGTGCCTGATTGCGGCTGTGCACCCGCCCGTGGGAGGCTGCGACGTCCAGTACTTCTGCATGGCGGCTGTGCTGCTTGCGGGTGCGGGCGTGGTTGCCTTCACGAACATGATGCGCTCGGCCTTCCTGACGGTGATGCACGCGGCGAGTTTTGTGCTCCTTGCGGCGCTGTGCGTGGTGAGCGCGGCCAACCACCTTGCGCCGAGCGACGGCGGTGCGAGGGCGTACGCGGCTATCGTACTGCTGCTGTCGACTGTGGTACTTGCGGTCACTGTGTACGGCGTCGTTGTGTGGCACGCGGAGGACTGCCACTGGCAGGAGCTGCGCGAGCCGCGGCGTGGTGGGCTGGAGGCGCTGCTGCGACGTGACGAGGAGAGCGACGACGAGACGCAGAAGCCTCACGAAATGACGTCATCGTCGTACGCCTC